CCTTGGTTGTTGGACTCCCATACAGCTCAATTTCCTGATGGTTCTGGGTGTTATTTGTTTGGGGACCTGGTTGTAATTCTTTCTATGGTTGTACCAGGAGGTGATGAGTGTCATTTCCTCCAGAAGGTCCTATACTGATTTTTGTTTGTCAATCATACCTCAATAAAAAGATTTTTTAAAAATCAAGTCTTTCTCTAACTGTTTCACATATAATTTATTTTTTTAATATTAGTAAAGAAGTTTATTCTTCAAAAAAGAGGAGGAAGAAGAAGCAGAGGGAACAGGGAGGAGGGAGGAGTGGAGGGTGGGGTGGTCCATAGGGAGAAGGGGAGCGAGGGGGAGGAATGGAAGAAAGAAAATAAAGGCAATGGACCCAGTCAATGAAGGGTAATGCAAAGCAATCTTGGACATTTCAACTTTCTTTTGGCTACTGAAAATGGCCCAGGAATGGTATAATATGACCTAAGCTTATTTGAGGAAGGTGACCAAGGCCGCAGGGTGAAGGATAGATAGCCCAGAACAGGGAAAAGATAGCTACCAAAAAGCTATTACAAAAAAAATAGGCAAGGATCTGAACAGGTTATTCCTGTTCTCTCTTTCTCTGGAATTGGGGCAGAGCTGATTCCACAGGTTGAAATCAAGCTGTGGGTGAAGGGAGTGTACGTGCTGGAGCCAGGCAGGGCCTGACCATCACAAAAGGTCAGGACAAAGGTGTGTGCAGGAATATAAGCAGAAGGTGGAAGAATAGGATCCACAAAAGTAGGAAGCAAGAAGGATGGGGAGCTGTCATTAAACCTTGCCCAAGTCCATCTCATGACTGCTTGTTGGTCTCCATCCCACTGTTTGAGGAGGCTGGTAAAATTTTGATTGGCAAAAAAATGTCAAGCATTGTCATGGGTCAGATTGTGGTATGTGGAAGTCCTAACCCCAGCACCTCAGAATGCAACCTTATTTAGAAATAGGATTCATGCAGATATGATTAGTTACAGTGAGGTCATATTGGAGTATGGTGGGACCCTAAACCAATATGACTGCATCCTTATAAGAAGGGACAGGGACACATGAAGGCAGAATGCCACGTGACAATGGAGGCAGAGACTGAAGTGCTGCAGCTGCAAGGCAAGGATTGCTGAGGACCGATGGCCGCCACCAGAGGCTAGGGAGAGGGAAGGAAGGATTCTCCCTGACAGAGAGCAGAGGAGGGAGCAGGCCATCTCGATGCCTGGGTTTCAGACTTCCACTCCAGAACTGCGAGGCAGTTCAGTTCTGTTTTGCTATACATGTGTATAGGAGATGGAGGCATTTGGTAAACCTCTGTATCTTCCTCTCAATTTTCCTAAAGCAGCTCTCTAAAAAATGTCTTTAATTAAAAGAAGAAACAACCTTTCAACGAACAGCATTATTAAATAAGTTTCACTATTGTTTCAAATACTGGTTAAATTTCATGACACAGAAATACAGGTACTATAGCCCCCCCACCTTATCTGTGGTTTCACTTTCCACAGTTTCAGTTACCCATGGCCAACTGCAGTCCCAAAATATTAAATGGAAAATTCCAGAAACAAACAACTCTTAAGTTTTCAATTGAGTGCCGTTCTGTGTAATGTGATAATATCTCATGCCGTCCTGTTCCATCCAGCCCAGCATATGAATCATCCCTTTGTCCAGCATCTCCGTGCACTGCAATGACATGTCAAGGGACCATGGTCTCATAACTTTTATTACAGTACATACTTAAAGTTGTTCTAGTTCATTATTAGTTATTGTTAATATCTTACTGTGCCTAATTAATAAGCTTAGCTATCATAGGTATGTATGTACAAGAGAAAACAGTATGTATACACATATGCATATGTGTGTATATATATATACATATATATGTGTGTGTGCATACATATATACACACACACATATATATATACTGTTTTTGGTACTATGCACTGTTTCAGGTATCCATTGGGGGTCTTGAAACGCATCTCCTGTGGATATGGGGGGACTGCTGTATACTTTGAAATTTGGTTATTTTTCTTTTTTAAAAAAATATTTTATTTATTTTATTTTTAGAGAGGGGGGAGGGAAGGAGATAGAAAGGGTGAGAAACATCAATGTGTGGTTGCTTCTCGTGCAACCCGTATTGGAGATCTGGAATACAACCCAGGCATGTGACCTGACTAGGAATCCAACTGGCCACCCTTCGGTTCGCAGGCCAGCACTCAATCCTCTGAGCCACACCAGCCTAAATTTAGCTAGATTTTTTTTTCTATAGAACTTTTCTTTTAATCACTGTCATAGCCAAAATACAAAATTTTAAAGATGACATTTAATTTAAAATGGAAGAACTGCATCATTGCCTGGGCTTACTCCAATTATACAAAAATATTGTTGTATTGCAATAATTTTGGCTATTAATTCTCACCTTTCCTAATGTCAATCACTAGTTCTTGCAAACTAATCAGAAAGTGTTTCCATAAATAAATTTGAAATGCCCTAAAAGTCTTCACTGAGAAATTTTAAAACATTAGGAAATTGTTTCCCAGCTCTTTAAGTGTGAACTTATAAGAGTCATTGCATCATTTTCAGAAGCAAAATCGCACAAACATGAAAAGATTTCCAATAATCTGTTTTCAAAATACCCTCTTCATAGCAAAAGTATTTTTGGAAAAGTAGTTACATTCTTATTCCTTGGAGGGAAAAATTATATTATGTCCTTGAAGAGACACATTTTGTGTTTGTTTTTCCACATCTGTTAGATAGCTTACCACTAAAAGTCCTTTTGTTGTCACAGAAAAAAAAAAAGCCAGAACATTAGATACTCATGTTTTTTTTAAGTAAAATGCATAAAAAATTTTTTTTATTTTTTAAATGAGCAAAAAATGAGAGGAATCACTCTGATTTCAAGACTCCGTGTGGCGGCCGTGGTGGTGACTGTGCAGAGAGACAGACACATCATCCATGGAACAAAAACCTAGAAATGGTCTCACAACAACAGCCAACTGATCAGTGACCAAGGTGCCAGCGAAGAATGGTTTTTCCCACAGATTTTCCTGGAGTGATTGGACACCCTCAGCAAATAAGCAAACAAAGAGAACCTCGATCTAAACCTAATACCTTCTATAAAAATTACTCAGCTCCAATGGATCACATATTTAAAGGTAAAACATACAGCTGTAACTTAGAAGATAACATAAGAGAAAATATTTAAGACCTAGGGCTTAGTGAAGAGTTCTTAGACAAAGGACAATTAATTCTTTAAACAAAAACATGATAAACTGGACTTCATCAAAATTAAAACTTTTGCTTTGTGAAAGACCTTGTTAAGACAATGAAAAGACAAGCTACAGACTGAGAGAAAATACCTGTAAACTACATATTCAGCAAAGGACTAGGGTCTAGAGTATATAAAGAAGTCTAACAATTCAACAGGAAAAATATCTAATTAGGAAGTGGGCTAAGACATGAACAGACAGTTTCTCTAATGAGATATGGACAGCAAATAAGTACATGAAAAGATGTTCAACATCAGTAGCACTAGGGAAATGCTGATTAGGACTGTGATGAGATATCACTACCAATTTCAGAGCACACAACTGAAATAAAAAACAGTGACTACACTGAGCACTGGTAAGAATGTGGACAACTGACTCCCTCCTACATAGTGGGAGGAATGTAAAATGAAATAGCTATTCTGGAAAACATTTGGCTGGTTCCTGGGAAACTAAATATGCAACTGCCATGCAACCTAGCATCTGTGGTCTTGGACATTGACCCTGGAGAAATGAAAACTCATACTCAAAACTCTGTACTTACACTCACAAAAACCTGTACACAAATGTCTGTAGCAGTTTGATTTGTAATAGCCAAAATCCAGAAACAACCTACATATCCTCCAGTGACTGAAGGGTAGATGGTACATCCATACCATGGACTACTACTCAGCAATAAAAATGAGTGAACTATTAATACAAGCGACAACCTGCATAATCTTCAGAGAATTATGCGGTGTGAAGAAGACCAATCCCAAAATGCTGTCTACCTTATTCTTCCATTTAGATAACATTCACGAAGTGAGAAAACTATACAGGGATGAGCAAAAGTAGGTATATGGTTAAGTACGTAAAATAGTTTATTCATATATTACTAGTTATTAATTATTGCATTATTTATTTGTATTACAACGATAAACCTACTTTTGCCGAACCCCTATAGAAACAGAAAACAGATTACTGGTGCTGGGGGTAAAGGAGGGCATCAGGATGGGAGGGAAGAGAGTGCGGCTTGGGGTGTTGGACACGTTTTCTACCTGACTCTCGCAGTGTGGGTATCCTGACGGTGATACCGTAGTACAATTTCACCAGCTGTTACCATTGGGAGTAGCTGGCTGAAGGGTACATGAGACCTCCAGGGTCTCATGTATTTATTTCTCACAACTAAAGTGCAAATCTATAATTATCTCAAAAAGTTTACTTTTTAAAAAGTGTTTCCAACAAATAATGGATGAATAGGAGTTCTAACGTTCCCCACCTACACTGTAATGAATCGCCTTAGGCACATATGCGTTTAGAGATCACTGCTGCCAGAGCCTACTCAGTCCTTAGGCCCCTTTAATGATTCTCTGCATTCTTTCAAAGGTACATTTCTGAAATGCAAACCTGATCGTGTTACTTCCCAAAATCGTTCCTCTGACACATAAGGGCCTTCGTGGTCTGGCTTTCGGCCTTTCCCCAGCGTACACACCTGGGTGCCAAACCGCTCACACTTTGTGTAAAACCCTGTCTGGCTGTGCGATTCCTGAGGACAGCCACAAAGACTTACTTCTGTATGCCTATCTTATCTCCAATGTCTCTAATTAATTTATCTCCAACGCTTACCCAGTTTCCAACGTATTAGGAGCACAACGTCTTAAATAAGAAGCCCATTATCAAAGTTTATTACCTTTGTTTTGTTTATAACCTCCTAAGAGCCCAAAGGTGTTGGTTTTATGTTTTCCTCAGAACACTAACCTGCGATCACTCCTGCCAGATACACCAGCCCCACTCGGAGGCCTTTGTGGACCATTTCCAAGGGAATACCCAAAATGAGCTGCATAATAAGATTCCCCAAGATGTGCTGAATTCTGCAGAGACAAACACATGTGTCAAGTATTACGGCTGATCTAGGCAGTTATTTCCTGGGCAGAGTGACAGGCATTGAGGTATTGTTTCCAGGTGTGGACTTGCTTAACTCAAATTCCACTTTCTAATTTTTTCAGCGGGTCTTCTAAAATGCTAAAAGAGCATTTTAGAAGTATATATTTATTTTATAAGTGCTGTCTTATAACAATTACTGGGAGCAATTGAACAATGAACAACATCAGAGAGCAATGAGGCTGGCCTAAGGAAAATAAACTTGAAATTAGGTTGAGATGACAACTGGCAACTTCTGCCAGCTTCCACATCTGATTTTGTTAAGGTTGCATAGTATTTAGAAAATCCTAATTCACTCAGACTGAGTTTAAATTTCAATAGGTCTCTGAACAACTTGTCCTGCTGTCTCAGAATGTTCTTTAATAAAACAGATGGCAAGAGGAATCTCGTTCCCAGTTTTACATTTGAAAGTTTTTTTTAAAAGCTTATGAGAATGGAAAAATAAGTTTACCTAGTAACACTAGCTAAAGTTGGTACCTCCCATGTGCTACAATTTGGTATATAACATATTTGAGTATAGGTGTTTTTACTATAGTTCTTAAATAGGTAAAAATATTTTTAAATAAAAGTCATTGTTTTGCTTGTCAAACCCCACAAGTATCTCTGGAGAATCTCCAAGTGTAATTTGGTAAATTCCCACATTAGAGTAATTCTCAATTTACTTGCTATGCAGCACAATGCTGGGTTGTTGGGTTTTTTTAAGATTCTAGGTTAAACCAAAAAGTTAAAAACCAAAATAGGTGTTGGACTTTCCACAAGGTACACCAGCTTTCATATTAGTTGTAGGGGTTGTGTTTACATTATAATTTACTTAACAAACACCAGCGGACAGCAGACCACTGTGGGGGGTTCTCAGGGCGCGCCTGGCCCATGCACACCCAGCCACAGCTCACTGTCCGAGCCGTCTTCAAAGACATGTGAGAAGTAATATAATTCAACATAGAATTGTCTAGCAAGGACAGTTACACTTGGCTTATGCAGACCTTAGGCATAAAGGGGATTTGGAAATATGTGCACTTTGTGAATCTGAACAACGATGTCAAAGAAAGCCATCTCATCCTGTCCCCTGGCAACAGCTGAGAGACAAGATGATCAATAGCACGGATACCCCAACAAATCAATCCAAACTCTCTTTCTTCTGCTCAACATTATGAGTAAAAGTGGCAGAAAGATGAGATCCTGTCATATTCTCTAAACAGAAATATTAATTTTTTTATTCCAAATTTTATCCACCCTTCAAGGGTCCACCTGGAATCCATGTCATTTGTGAAGCCATCCCCATTCTGATCTTGCCCTTTTTCTGTTTGTATTGCTGGAGCTTATTCAACACTCATGTCCTATCCCTTTCTTTCCTCCTCTAGTGAGGCTGGACGAGCTAATGTTGACTTTCCCAACCTCTCTTAGATGGGGACACATAGTTCTGGTCAGTGGGATGCAAGTAAAAGTAGCACTGCCAGGGGACTTAAGAGTGCTGCTATCTTGACAAAAGGGGTGATGTCACCAGTACCTGGAATTGCCTCTTCCCCCTTTCTGCTTTGAATGCAGAGCTACAGCAGTGAACTTGCAACCATGCGAGAAAGACTAAGGAAAAAGCAGAGGTACCAGCACAGGGCCAAGAGTCCTGGCTTCATTAAACTGATGAACCAACCACCTACCTCTGGGCTCCTTATACGGGGACAAATTGACCTCCACTTTTTTAACTGCCTGTTAAATATTTTTTGTTACTTGCATATAAAAACATTCCTAATTTATGCAACCCCATGTATGACATTCTACATAGCCCTGCAAATTCAAGTGCCTTAGTACATGTCAGACCCTATAAAAATTATGTTATAACCATTGTTTGACTTAATCACAGCAACCTTATGAGGTAGGTATTGTTACTCCATTTTATAGATGTGGAAACTGAGGCACAAAGCAATTAAGTAACTACTGTATACTATAACACTCTACTGCTTTATAATACTAGTTAACTGTTCCCTCCTTGTCATTTTAAAGCCCTGGAGTGCAAAAGCCGCATTTGCTCAGAACATACTTGTTAAATGAAAACCAAAGTGTGGAAATGTGCACAAAAATAGGCAGTTGATGATTTTGTCCTGACTTGTCAAGGCTCAGAGCCCTGTGTCCTGCCATGGAAGCCTGTTTACCTGCAGGCCAGAGTCATCCTTCAAAGTTGAGACAACTCTTAGACAAAGTTGGCCTCATCTGAAACCCCAGGGGTCCACCAGAGAGTGGGGCCAGCAGCACGCTGTTCACTGTCATGGTGAATTGTGGATTCTGAGCAAGGTCATAGATGGCTATTAGCATTTAAGAAACTATGTGCAAAACTGAAAGGCAGACACTACAGGTCCTACAGCTTGCATTACTCCAGGAGGATAACAGTACTATACACTCATCAAAATGTCCATGAACTATTTTTCTACGTGTGTGGTGAGGGCAGAAACAGTGGGAGTGGTGTTTCATATCCTAACATTTAACAACATTGAACAACCAGGGGAACGTACCTTTGGTTTCGTAATGATTTGGTCCCTTCTCATTAATAGTCCCATGTAGCTACCAATATTAGGCAATTATAATGCAACACAAAGTACAGTGGCCTGGAGTTAGCACAAATGGGTTGAGGCCCTAGCTCTACGACTTAGCTGTGTGACAAGGAGCAAGTTACTACCTATCCTAAGCCTCAGACAAAACGGCGAGAGTAACACCTGCCTCCTGAGGGTGCTGCGATGATGGTACAAGACCACGGACATGAGATGCTTTATCAGTAACAGAGCTCTGAACAAATGTTAGGGTTACAGTCATTTATAGTCACCACTGACATCAGAGACTTAACTGTCATTCCTTACCCAGCATGCACCAGCATGTATGAGATAAACCTCCAGGCTTCTTCCCTCTTCATAGGATTGTAGATAAGCGGACTCTCCAAGATGCCTGTGTCCAAGGTGATCCACTGCTTATACGGCTTCCACACAGCATAGTAAATAAACACTGCCAGCTGACGGGGAGGGACAGACATGAATGTTAACCATACCCGCTGCAGAGGACTCACTCAAGCCCGTGGGCACTGCCTTTGTTTCAAGTGGTTAGCTCTCAAGTGGGCCACTTCACAGCACGTGCTCAGAGGATGACAGGGATTAAATTTCCATGCCATGCCCCTGGCCATTTAACTCTGGTCATATCCTACTTCCGCCAGTGGCTAGGAGCAGCCCTAGACCAAACTGTAGAGAAAACTCTCTCTGAACCCCTTTTCCCTCTTAGATGCCCACTGCCCTCACCTTCCCACACCCACCATTTGGTCTTTTGTTTACAACTTAGTGTGAAGTTGAGCGCTGGCTTCCAAAGAACAGGGTAGAGAGAGGGAAAAAATGTAACTAAGTCTACAGCGGAAGAGACGGCAAACAGGACCTCGAACAAGTGATGAAGGCTAGTGTCACCAGAAATGTAATGTAGCTGTCCCCGGCTCTGTGATGTGATGTGATGTGATGTGATGTGATGTGATGTGATGTGATGTGATGTGATGAGAAGGACATGTCACCTCTACAGTGTTGTTCCCCCAAACCCATACCTCCAGTCTAATCATGAGGAAAATGTCAAATAAACTGCAATTGGGCGATATTGTACAGGATACCTGACCAGTACTCCTCAAGTCCCAAAAAAACAAAGACAGACCGAGAAACTGTCCAGAGCAGAGAGACAGAAGACATGACAACTAAATGCAATGTGACACCTGCGTTCCAGGGTACAGGAGGGACATAAAGAGATTAATGGAAAAATTACTAAAATCCAGACTAAGTCTGCAGTTTACTTAATAGTGATATACCAGTGTGAGCTTCTTAGTTTTCACAAATGTACCATGGAAATATAAGATAGTAACAATTTGAGAGACTGGGTGATGGGTATACAGGAGCTCTCTGTACTATCTTTGCAACTTTCTTACAAAGCTAAAATTATTCCAAAATAAAAAGTTTATCAGAAGTAAATTTTCACTTAAAAAAGTTGATCTTTCTGTGGCAGGCAGATAGCTCAGCACCTACCCCATGGCCCTCCTGTGGAAAACTACCCCATGCATAGAACTCACTGTCTAGGTGGTCATGTTTTGTACCATGTGACCTGATTCTCTTCTCTAACACCACCCCCCCCCACACACACACACACACCCCTGACTGAACCATGGACAGGCCAGCCAGTCTGTAGACTGGAAGGATAATATGAGGTGAAGTACTGAAGAAAAGCAGAAAGAAGAATTCTGATGGCTCTCTAGTTGCAGGTTGTCTCACAAAAAGATCCCCTGAGAAATTTAGACCTATGTCCCCCGAACCAAACAGCCTCGACAAAAGCATCTTCCAGCAATGTAATGTTTACACATTAGCTTTAGCTTTAAGCCACTAGAGGCTACACCCCTGTCATAGTTCACTGTATGTGTCAGCTTGGCTAGACCATAGCACCCAGATATCTGGTCAAACATCCTAGATGTTTTTGTGAAGGTGTTTTTGATGTGATTAATGTTTAAATCAGTAGACTTTGAGTAAAGCAGATCACCCTCCATAACACGAGTGGGCCTCACACCGTCAGTTGTGGGCCTTCATACAACAAAGACTGGCCTCCTCTGGAAAGAGGGAATTCTGCCAGCAGGCAGCCTTTGGACTCCAATGCCAACTCTCATCCCCAGGGTCTCCAGTCTGCTAGCCTACTCTGTAGTCTGTGAACGTGCCAAGCTTCCACAATCGCATGAGCCAATTCCTTAAAATAAGTTCATCTCTCTCTTTCTCTCTCTCCCTCAACATTTGTGTGTGTACATAAATGACTGATTGGTAGAGAGAGATAATAGGTATGTTTATGTGTACATATATCCTATTGGTTCCGTTTCTCTAAAGAACCCTGACAAATACAGTCCCTGGTAAGGAAGATGAAGCATCAGTAGGAATTAAGAGAATTGCATTAGGGGCTTCCTTATGCCTCTGATGAAGTCCTCTGCCAAATTCCTTTATGAGTCTTCATGGTGAAGGAGAAAAAGCTAGATTTGATGAAATTCAGAAGAAGCCCCGTCCTGGCCCAGTCACTCAGTCATACCAGAGATAAGTCATTCCACAGCTCTGGGCCTTGCATTCTTTTCTGGAAAACAAGGGGGCTGACTAGATGGGAGTCTGAAAACACAATACATACTGCCCATTGTATACATAATTAGAGGATCCCATTTTTTCCCTGCTGAAATTTGGAGGCAACCAATCTTGTAACTCTTATAACTAGCCAATTGAACGTGGTTCACAAGACCAAATGAATTTGCAACCCCATGGTTATTTGGTATCTAAAGCCTCCACCAGCTAAAATTAAATGAAGCCACTAAAATTGTAGTCACTGCTAGGGAGGGGACTTGTTTCAAAAATAATACTCAACCCGCCCTGGCTGGTGTGGCTCAGTGGACTGAGTGCTCACTGGTGACCAAAGGGTCATTGGCACATGTCTAGGTTGCAGGCCAGGTCCCCAGTGGGGGCCAGGTGAGAAGCAACCACACATTGGTGTTTCTCTCCCTTTCTCCTTCCCTTTCTCCTTCCCTTTCCCTCTCTCTAAAAGAGAATAAATAAAATCTTTAAAATAAAATAAGAAAAATAATGCTCAACCCCTGGCTGAAAGTGACTGGGAACATAGGAAAACCTGGGGAGAGAGCTCTGGAGAGGGTGAGGTGGAGTCCCGTGTGTGCTGTCCTTGCCACCACCCGCCTCTCTTCTTCATGTTTCTAGTCTCTGATCCAGCTCTGATCTAAATCTTCAGCTTGTTTGCCATTCCCCAGTGGTCTTGCACTAGTGCTCACCACCCCTCATATTTACCTCAGCAAGACTGATGGAGATGATGAACACTGGGGGTGGGAGGCAGTTGGCTCTCTCCAAGTATGTTCTTCGGGCATTTTCAGGAAGCATCCATTTTGAGACAATCTTGTGGACCTTTTTATTCTTGAAGGGGTCTTCACCTTCCCCATCCTCTCTCATTTTCTCTTCTTCCTCCAGCGCTTCTTCCATGTCTCTACCCACATTCTCAACCTTCATCTCCAAACCATGAGTAGCAGCCATTGTCCTGCAACAGAAAGGGACATGAATGTCAGGGGAAAACATGACCCTACAGTCTTCCTGGTCCTTTCCTGGCTTCTCTGGCATGACCATTGGTTTCCAAAGCCTTTCCTGTATGTTAACAGAAGGCAAGTGAAGACCTAGTGTCCCAATACTCATAAAATCCATGCCCTCATCACCATTGTGTAATTGTGACAAAGTACCAGGGTGTCCCCAAATGAGGGAGAGGACTCTCAGCAGTCACTTTGGGTTTCATCTACTGCCACCACTCAAGAGGTGGGCTAGAGCCTTGCACTACCTGTACACTCCGTCCTTCCCCTCTGCCATGGACTTTCAAGTCAGCCATTAGCTTTGTCCTGAAGGTAATGTGTCTCAGAGACCAAAGCATGCACAATACATCACTGAACTCAGTTTTGTCTTAGCTTAACTGAGCAAGCTCCTTCCCCCTCTTAGTTTCATCTTCCTCTATTCCCAGGTTTCTTTTCTTTCTTTAAAGATTTTACATATTCATTTTTAGAGAGGAGAAAGAGAGGGAGAGAAACATCAATGCGTGGTTGCTTTTCAAGTACCCCTTACTGGGGACCTGGCCAGCAACACAGATGTGTGTCCTGACTAGGGATAGAACTAGCAACCCTTTGGTTCACAGGCTGGCACTCAAGCCACTGATCCACATCAGCCAGGGTTACTCCCAGGTTTCTGATTCAGAATCAAAACTCATTTGTTGAGCATCTGCTGTGTATCAGCTGAGGACAGTCACATCTATTGACTCATTAGATCCCCTAATCCCCAAGAGGTTTTCGCCCCATTTACAGATGAAAGACTAAGTTTCCCACCTCCCCACCTCCCCAAAACAGCATAACTTTGATAAGATTCAAACTTACATCTTCTATTTCTACATTAGCAGTGTCCTTCCTAAGTTACAACTGCCCATTCTGTAGCACACTTGAGTTTACAGGGCCATTCCTTACTGGTTCTTCAGATGCAACATCAACATCCTTGGTAAAACACATCTTCCCAACAACTCTGACATCCAGATCCCTTAGCTGAGTATCTACTAATTTCTACATCTAGGATTCCCTTGAACTCAACCCTTAACATTTATCATTCGGACAATTATTCAACAAACATCTATTGAAAATCTACTATGTTTCAGGCCACCATCCCTATCCCAAAACGTTCACAATGTAATGGAAGGAACAGAGGTCAATGAAAATAACACAGATAATCGTATCATTACAACTGCGTCAGTGATACCAAGCAGACGCCAGGACCCCGGACTGCACATCTGTAACAGAGAGGCTTTGCCCGCACACCCTCCCCTCTCCCTGTGCCCTGGTGCCATCTGCTTGCCCTTCTTTTGGTTTGGGTCTGTTACTTTCCACCCCCGGTTAAACGACTTAAATCACTCAATCAAATGTTTCATGGTCAAAATAAAGCAAGGAGTGAGGGCAGGGCTCAAATACGTTAAAAGAAAGAAATCATGTTGCAAAGTAGCACATGGTGATGACCTAATTTTTGTAAGAAGTAATGTACTAACACACACCCAGGAAGAAATCTGGAGAATTAACCATAATTATATCTGCATGGTGGGGTTTCCTGGAGTTTTGCCCTCTGTGTAGGAGTGGGCCCGGATTTGGAGGAGCCTAAAGCTTAAATGATGGGGGGGGGGGGGGGGGGGTCTATAGGAAAAAAATTATATAAATTGAAGTTGAAAAATAAAAAAATTACAAATGTAGATACATGGCCTTAGAAGGAACCCAGGTGAGAGGTATGAAACTTATGCTTTATTAGTTGCACAAATAATCCATTTCTGTGTCTATTTCTAAGTACATATTACTATTTTAATTTTTTAAGTCAAAAATTTTAAAGGTTTTATTTATTTATTTTTAGAGACAGGGGAAGGGAAGGAGAAAGAGAGGGAGAGGTATCAATGTGTGGTTGCTCTAACATGTCCCCAACTGGGGTCTAGGCCCAAGACCTAGGCATGTGCCTTGACTGGGACCAGTGACCCTTTGGTGTGCGGGCCCACACTCAACCCATTGAGCTACACCATCCAGGGCCATATTACTATTTTAATTTAAAAACCTAATAAAGCTGTACCTATGAGACCTTTTCTTGACTCCTAAGTCCCAACTACTATACTATGTCTCCCTCCCCCTTTGTAGCCCAGTGCCCTGAAGGATGGGTTTGTGCCCACCAACCATCTTGTCCCCTGGATCCCCCATCGAAACTGCTCTCATGAGTTACGTCCTTCAGACACATCCTCTTCAGTTGCGATGTGGGGGTCCTAAGGGTGTGTGTATGCAGAGCCCCCTTGGCATTTCAAAGCATATCCCCGTGCACAATCTTACGTACTCCTCAGAACAATCTGTGAAAATAAAGAGAAGGCCAGCAGCATGTTCCCAGTCCTCTGAGTCTTCAGCCTTGCCAACAGATGTCTCTGGTGAAATCCCCTCATCCCCACCTTTCATCTCAACCACATTCCATTCACTGACTGCCCTCTCCCACTCGCCAGCTGTAGGCATGCCTCTGTACACTTCAACAACAACACTCTCTTCCTGCCACTGGGCTTCTCTCACTAGATGAAGACGGGCACAGCAGCAAGGTCACGAGAAGACAGGAACACAGGCTTTGTTGCAGGCCAGGCCTGGGGAACAGCAGGTCTTATTTGCCTTTGCAGCCCCAGTCAGTAGCCCTGGGCCTGGTACCTCAGGCCATCGACTGGTGGTTGCCAGGGCCTGGGAGAGCGGGAGTGGGGAGGTGGTATTTAATGGGTACCGACTGTCAGTTTGGGAAGAAAAGTTCTGGAGATGGGTGGAGGTGATGGCTGCACAGTGTAAATGTAGTTAATGTCTCTGAACCGGGTATTTAAAAATGGTTGGAATGGTAAGTTTTATGTTACGTATATTTTACCACACATGAAAACTAAACAGTAATACAAATTTCAAAAGTTGTTATGAAGACTAGATAAAATAGAGTGTTTCTCACCAGTCTGTACTTTAAATAGTATCTTACACTAAGCTGATATTTTCAGCTAGTCTGATGCTTCTAAACTTCCTAAATGGCCCCAAAGTAGTTTCAACTGCAATTCTTTTTAAAGCATGAGCAGTACAGCCAAATGACTGAGATTAAAACACAGCTCTACTACATACTAACTGTAAGTAATCTAAATTCTCTGAGCGGCAAATTACACTTTTTTTTTTAATTAACTTTTTTTTAGAAAGTGAGAGGAAGGGAAAGAGGGAGAGAGGGAGAAACATTGATTTATTGTCCCACTTATTCATGCTTTCATCGGTTGACTCTTGCATGCGCCCTGACCAGGGGTCAACCCCACCACCTTTGTGTGTGGGGACAACACTCTAACCAGCTCAGCTGTTATGCCAGGTCTCAAATTACACTTTTTTAAATTGTGGTTAAATATGCATAACATAAAATTTACCATTTTAACCATTTTAAACTCTACTGTGAACAGAGCTGCTATGAACATACCTGTACTTTTTTTTTTTTGAACATTTATTTTCAGTTCTTTGGGCATATAACTAGGAGTGGAATTGCTGGATCATATGGTAACTTTATGTTTAACTTCTAGGGAAAGCCTCGGGTTCCATTTTAAAGTGGAGATAATAATAGCATTTACCTCATAGCATCGTTGGGAGGATTTTTGAGATAATGCATGTAAAACACTAGAATACTAGTATTTGGCATATAGTTAACACTCCATAATTGTTACTTACTTATTGGCTATGGGTGGGTGTGTGGATGAGTGGATGACTGGAATTCCAGTCAATTGTATTTCATTAAGCAAGGTTCCACATTACAATAGGTTATACTCAATACATCAGGGAAGGAGAGAATTCCCCTTTATTTTTATTTTTACCAGCAACTTCTCTGAAACGAAAAAGAAAAGACTTCTTCCCTCCCTACATCTTCGACCCTTCCATTCACCCAGCCTTGCAGGGTCAGACAGTAAATCCATAAACCCAACTATTGTATTAATTTTCCATGGATATTGATGATCATTTCTAGTTTTTTGTCACTTCTAATTGGCAAGATACAGTGCGGGTTTAAGATTAGCAGTTTTATTTATTTATTTTATAAAGATGTTATTTATTTATTTTTAAAGAGAAGGGAAATGAGGGAGAGAGGGTGAAAAACACCAATGTGAGAGAGAAACATCGATCAGTTGCCTTTTGGATGTGCCCCAGACAGGGATGGACCTGCAACCCAGGCAGGTGCCCTGACTGGGAACTGAACCACTGACCTTTTGCTTTGCAGGCAGATGCCCAACCAACTGAGCCACACCAGTCAGGGCAAGTAATAACAGTTTTAACCACAAATGTTAAAGGATTTTTAAAAAATAAGTTCAATTAGGGATGATTCACATTGTATTAATAAGCTCTATTGTAAATTTAAGCACCACGCATGATCACGGTATGAGGAAATAAAACTTCACATTGTTAACAGTGTAACCTGACATCTATAAAAGGAACTAGAAAATTAAGATTACATTCCCTCTCCCCCACCACAATTTTCTCTTTTCTGCAGATTTCAAATTTTCCAGAAATTCGACAACTTCAAGCCCACCATTTTAGGTATTTTAGTGAAATATGTTTCCTGGGCTGCAAAGATACCTGACCCATTGGGTTTCTGCCTTCTCACGGGACTCACTGCGTGTCTGCCTTCTTCCTTGGCATCTGCAGTAAAATGATGTGATGTGTAGGCCTCGCTAATTGAGGTTCTAGCAACAGATGGACACACCTGTAGTGACTGCAGCATTTTGTTGTCACCTCTCTTCTCAGTCAATCACTGTCACGTTCTGGTTCCATACCTGTCCATGTGCCCTGCTTCACCTTATCTCCAACACCTGGTGCTGGATGCTCACAGGTGCTGCTTCCAGCCCCTCACATGCCCCATCCTCCCTACTCCTGTTTCCCTTCTGCTCCCACACCTGAATGTCTGAGCACAGTTCACCTCCTTGGAAACGACTAATCAGTTTGGCAGCAATGA